GCCGGTTCTGGGTTTGCAGTTAAGTATTTCTTGATGTTGCCATCTTATTTTTAAGGTCCTCATATTTAGGTACATGTATTTAATGTGGCAATGTTTTTCATGAATGCATTCATGATTCGGTCAACTCATTAATTTTTATTCTTATATCTAGGTTATAATATAGAGCGGCTAGTTAGGTACTTTCTTAATGTTATAATGCGGCTTGGTTATTTGTTTTGGACTGTCTTTTAAGACAACATCTGTCATAAGATTTCTGCCGTTGTTGTTACAGGTTATGTATTGGGCCTTGAAAGTCATGATAAAGCTTCATAAGGAGGATTGTTGTTGTTATTGTAATTTTGCATCTGCACAGTAAGACTATCCTAACTTCTTGTAAAAATTTTGGTACCACATAATCAATAGGACTCGAGGTCAAAATCACTGACTTCAAATCACTTGCTTTACTGTCAAAATTGGCCTGTTATGTCTTTAGGGCGAAGTGTCTTTAACTCAGTTGTACTTATAATGGTGTTCTCATTTGACATGTACAATGTGAGTGCGTGTCACTTGTCCTCATTTGACAGATAGGTCCTCAATTGAAAGTGTATAAACAGTCCTCAATTGAAATTTGTTGTCCTCGACCGTAAAGCAAATGCCTTTTCCTTTCTTTCGTTTTTTGTTTGTTTGTTTTTTTTTTTTTTTTTTTTTTTTGAAATATTGAAATCATAAAAAGTTTTACTACAAGAGGCATTGCATGCATCATGTTCAAAACGGCGAAGTCTTTATTTTTGTTGGTAGCAGCCATCTTAAGTGGTATATTTATTCGGGGTCCAAATGCGTGCGTTGGTATATACTTCAAAATTATATTTATTTTACGCATGTGGGGATTAATTTTTCTGTAAACGAAAGAGATTATCTGTATATAGACTGATTTTACTTACCTACCAAATTTGAGTACATTTGAGCACTTGTTTGAATATTCGACCCGTGTAGTTTAAGAGAATGAATGGAGTACATAACTAATGTTTTGAAAACTTACACTAGCTGAATGAATAGGTCGTCGTCACATCTACAGTAACACAGCTGTTAAATGGTTATCTAACATGTGAAAAGTCTGCGGTTGGATCCCTATTGTTGCTATTGTTTTTAACCTCTTTCTTTTGCAGTATTTTTTTATGGTAATGACCATGTGCCTGCAAAATTGTCTTCACGGATATAAAAACAACTTGGAAACACTGTTTTGTCGCGTTCTGTGTGGATTGTACAGCATTTAAATGACATTCTTTATGTTAATCCGAATAAGTTTTAATCGATTTTTAATTTTTAAACCATGTTATTTAAAAAGAATATTGCTTTTACCAAAACATATTAAAAAACAATTATAGTTTCAAACATGAACCTACGCTGTCCAGATCTTACAACACATATGACATTTAGAAATTACAAACCCGTAGTTTACCAAATTACGCAAATTAATAAATCTAATGTGTACATCTTAAAAAACTTACCGAAAATTTATCTAAGATTAATATATTTTTGCATTGACCATATAATCAGTATGCAATTGACAGGAACAATATGTTCTAAAGTATTCGTTTTTAAGACACATTTAAATGATAAAAATATATTCTAATTAGATTTTCTACGTAAATGTATACTTTGCAATAAATTTTAATATTCAATGTAACTTTTCACGCACTAGTGTGTCCAACAGCAACTGAGACTGTCGGGTGCGTGGGTAAATTTCGATGAAAATCCGATAATCACGCACTCATCCAACACACTCGAGCAAAGTGACAGTCGACTGAAATCGATTGTTTAGCCATTTCAGCTCGCAATACAACGTATAAGAGTGATTAATTTTTTTTTTTTTTCAAATGAGACTGACCTCAGGTTTTTTAAATGACATCACTTGTTGCTGATATTATTTGATAATGCCTTCAGGAGAGGGCGCTTACAAAGTCACACACACGCAGGCACACACAAACGCACGCACGCACGCACACACACAACAAATTAACCTGTTTTTTGATATATTACGTATACACTTAAATTTATAGCAATAAAGTATATGAAATTTCATATATTACAGTCAATATAGAATTTAAAACAAGTTTAAGGGATATTTCCAATGGAACATTTTCTCGAAAAGCCCGTGTTACCTTTTGTAACCATACTTGTCTCTTTTTTTTCTTGTGCACGAACTTTTACTCTAGTATTTGTATTGAGTTGTTCACATTTGCTAAAAGCCATGGTTGTAGAAAAATTACCTTTGACTAAATAATCGACGAGATCAGTAATAGCATTTGTGTTATAAGAATAAAACTGATACTAGTCTTATTATAAAAATAAAATGTATTTTAAATCAAAAATATTTCCCGAACTCTTCTATATGACAGCCTATCAATTTCCCGGAAACAGTTACGCCGACATTTTTCGAGGATTCTTTCAGAAGCTGTCATTTTTCATACGCCTAAAATATTCTTAGAAATTGGGAAACGTATCCAAAATTACCTGATAGTTTCTCTAGTCAATAGACATAAAATCTATAGCAATAAAATTGTCTTTATTTGCGTAATATGAATATACTAACCAAATTTATAGCCAGTAAATTTTAGATTTTTCATCTCTGAAACAATCTGTCATCACTGGCGCCGGTGTCGGTAATACAGTGTCTATGATAAGCTACCGTTATGCTTTTATCAGCATTTAGTACTGTTCATCGCATTAAATAGTAGATCGAAGTTTGGCGGGAAAAGCCGAACGTCTACGATTGATATTATTCAAAGCAAACAATATTACTCAACGTGCAGCACAACTTCCGGGTATGGCGGACAATGATAACTATATTTGTTTTTTAATAAATTTAAAACAATTAGGACTTTAATCTTTGATATCATAATTGTTTCGGATATAATTTTTGAAAACATTTAACTCTTTGTACAAATTAAATTGATCAGTAGTTGTATTTTATCTAGTGATATAGTTTTTGACCCTTTATACACTCTTTTAAAGGCTTGTTTTCAGTTTATAGATAAGAATGAGTTATATAAACAATCTTGATAATTATATGTCGTATGTTCAAAATTAAACAATTCACATTTTCATAAAACCACTTAATGAAAAGGTCCGAACGCTGAAACAAATTTCGTGTTTTTTTTTCGTTGGAAGACCTATATAGGGTCAAAAACTATATCACTAGGAAAAGGGACTTATGAAATATGTATTCGAGGATTTTGAAATGAATACTTTTGATAAGTGTTTGGTGTTGTTGTTGTTGTTTTACAACTTAAGCACTCGACGAGACATTTAAGTATTTTTGAATATTTTCGGTTGTTTCGGTACATGCATGCATATAAAATAAAGGTATGATACATGTATAAACAATAGACTATCTTTCGTAAAGAATCATCAATACGACTGTATTTTATTCAATATTTTACAAAGCTAAAAGATAATATCTAAAAATAGCATTTAAAACTTCATTCGCATGTGACTCCAAACGTATCACTTTAGATTAAGGTAAACTTTTCTAAGAATATTTAAAATACTAGTTGTCGCAAACATACTGCAGAGGCCTCTGATTTAGCAAAATCTTAGCATGTTTGGACTACAGTCACATAATATTTCAAATCTGCAGTCACTATGTTCATATGTACAGGTCATAGTACAGGTTTGTTTGCGACAAAACAGTGGACTTGTTCACTATCAAAATTGGAGTATACGTTTCTATATTAAAAGGTGGACAAAACATTAATTCTACATGTCGACAAATTTCAAAATGCTATATGCCATGAACAAAAATATGTTGTTTCTTTACAATTAAAACAACGTGTCTCAAGATAATCAATGGAATAATGTCAGTTATAATTCATTTTGCTAGAGAGTTCTGATTAGGAATATTTTAAAAGGTATACTCATAAATAATAATGGGAAACAAGTAACGAAGTGGCGACGTGGCAGAGTGGTTAACCTGTCGGACTAGTACTAGTAATCTATGGTGTGCATCTAGCCGCGTAGGGGCTAGTCAGGGACAAGTTGCTGTTTTCATGAAGTAGAAGTTAACTTTCACGCACTGCTTAAAGTACTATTTGGTTCGAGAATCGGATTTGAGGGTGTTTCAATAAGCTGAACTAAAATAAATACATGTACCATGCCGGCATTACAAGTATATATGAGCCGCGTCACGACAAAACCAACATAATGGGTTTGCGACCAGCATGGATCCAGACCAGCCTGCGCATCCGAGCAGTCTGATCAGGATCCATGCTGTTCGCTTACAAACCCTTTAACAAGTAGAGAAACTGATAGTGAACAGCATGGATCCTGATCAGACTGCGCGGATGCGCAGGCTGGTCTGAATCCATGCTGGTCGCAAACCCATTATGTTGGTCTTGTCGTGACGCGGCTCATATATGCATTGTACGTATAGGGAATTATTTGAACAAGCCGCGTTCTATGTTATGCATTCCCAGACAGAGAGGACCTGTAAATTTAGGGAAAATAAAAGACCTCTAGGACTGGAACAGTTTTTAATTGTAAAACAATTTTCAAACATCGAAGAACATGTATTATGTTGAAATCATTAAAATATATGCATTCATTTCTTAATGAAAAATTTGACTTAGTCTTTACAGAACATAATTTTTATTACCTCCCATTATTTACATGAAATGTTCAATTCGGTAATATCTTTATAAATAATGCTTTTTGAAACTTACAAATTGATAAACCCCAATTTGAGCATCATACAGTCATGTATTTATGATATAAACCCATAACAAATTGTGTTACAGGATCTTTAAAAGCGTATAAACACTATATAATTCCTTTAGTGGTCATTTTTCATCGCTATATTAAGATGCTAAAGTAAGTAAATGACACAAAATGACACAAAAATGTTATTTATTTGATCCTATATCAAATGGTTCACAAATCAAGAAAGAATTCCAGCCCCCGTCATGTAAAAAGCCTCGGTGTCCTTTCAATTGGTTTCTATTGTTTTGATATCCCTTTTTCAGGTCTTGTTGCTGGAGTTATTGTTGGACTTTTACTACTGAATGCAATAATAGCAGTAGTTTTTGTATGTGTTAGAAGGTAAGTAAACTCAAGTCAACTTGGGAATTTCCCGGATCTAGCTTGGAGAAGGCTGCCGGATTTAATTTTTGGTCCTATCCAGCCTTACAAATAATACAATAATTAAAGTGGTGGTAGTTTTCCTCCGTTCATAAAAGCAGAATTGTCTCTAAAAGACTATGGACAGGGGCGTCCATTTGTACTAAGTTTACCCCTTTATTAAAACCTAGCTTAATGAATGTATTGCAATATATCTTTTAATTTGGACAAACATTATTAAAACTGTTGATGAAGTACTGACAGAATAGCGGAAAGTACAGATCATGATCTTACGGCATGAAAATTTAGGGCTAATCTGGTCTGTACTGGTCACGTGGCTAGAATCAGTGGCCACCAGCGGTCTAAGTCACACCAATATTGGAAAGCTCCACTGGAAACATCAATGTTAAGCCGTTTCTTCAGCTTATAGACACTAGCGGGTCTTTAGCTTATATGAACATGTGGATGAACAAATTGCACGTGCAACCATTTGATTTATTTAAATAACCAATAACTAATAACTTTTTTATTTGTTCTTGTTGGTAAAAAGCTTATAATTGGTTAACTGACTTAAAATAAAACTTCTTGTACCTTGTAAACTTGATCAATGTTCATGCATGGTAACATTAAAGAACTGAACATGTCATACAACACTGTTACATCAATAAGAAATATGAATGATTCTTAGTTATTCTCCGAGTTATATAAATGGTTCATATTTTAATTTTAGGTAATTGCTCTGAAAATGATACTTTGCAAGTATATAAGTAAAAAATGTTTACAATGCAGAATGTTTGTAACATCGGTTTTCATTTGACAAATATGTTTTTTATACTAGATCTATTCATACTCAAATATTTACGGCTGCAAATATAACATGATTAATACAACAAAAACAAGTATGCAGTATTATAAAAAAAAAAAGTCGTTATCTAAATGTTTTTACAGGTTATATGGCCATGCACAAATGGTTTTATTCACTCAGGTTTTATAAGTTTACATCTTAATATATTTGGCCATATATTCTGTCAAAAATCTTTATAGCTAACAATATAAACACAATTGTAAAGATCTCCTAGGACAAAACTATATTAACTATCTTTGTTTCCATACTTTTCTTAGGAAGTGCTGCAAGAAAGAAACTGGTCACAAAGAAACTGGACCGGAAGGGGTTGCCATGCAGACTGTACCTGGAGAACCTGCAGAATAGAACAGAGGTCACTAAGTACTATCATAAAAGGTGAACACTTAACCTGCTTGAAACAAAATTTGATCGGCTTTCATCACCAGTAAAGAGCTAGACAGTGAATACTGCACATCTATGTAGACTACTGAACCAAGGGCTGTTCCAAGTTCAAAGCTGTGCAAATCCACTAAGCAGGATGATTATCATTATACTTGTTTAAATAAGGGACGGGTTGGGCTTGAGCCTTTTAATGGTTCGGAAAAAGTGAAATACATAGTAAATGTTACAAGTGCATTAAATAATCATGTGCTGTTGTTTCATATAAGCTTTAAGCTTTCTACTCAATCCTGGATGCAATTTAGTTTAAGTATTGAAATTTTGTTTGAAAATATAGAAGAAAAAATAAATACTGTTTATTTATAAACCAAATAATATTCATACATTTAGAAAAAAGAAATGTTTCTGTCTTGTTTATTTTAAAGTTTTCATTTTCTTTATTATACCATAAACCATGTAAACCATATCCTTTTTTGACATACCTATCAACTTTTCAGAGACTAAAAAATTCTGATAAATGCTGATAAAGGGCAGATAATAAACAGACTGTGGGGAGAAAGAAAAAAGACAATTTCTGATGGCAAAGTAGTGAGAAAGTCCAAACCAAAAAAACAATACACATATCTTTTCTTTTTTTATTGTAAAAATAATATGAACACCTACATAATGATAATATGTATTATCATTGAAATTTGTCTTATCTGTAAGTACATTGTAAATAATGATAAGTAACGCTACATGTACATGCTTATTAAACTTTTCCAAGTTGTATAATTTCATTCAAACATGTCTTATGACAAAACCTCTTTTTGACAAAACTTTTTTTTACTGATTTGATCATGTAGTAAATTGCATTTCTTACAACCATTGTATTGTTGACATGAAATCCAAAGTGCTTTCAATAACAATTAATATGTGTTGCATAAAGTTAAATTTATACTTTTTTGTGACTATAATATATATATGTACAAAATGGTGCTGCGCCATGTCATGGAGGTTTTTGATAAATAAATGAATTAACACGACTGTGTATTTTGTGATTTTCCTATTTGAGGCGTTACTTTTGCCTTGCTGACAACTCTAATCAATACAACTTGCAATCAAATTCCTTCATTGGAGAAATCCATCAAGCTTGGTTATAGATGGACTGATGTTATATTGATAAGACATTTCCAGGAGTAATGCATTTTTCTACAAAAACAAATAAGGAAAATTCATACTAGCATAGAGAATTGTCTTAAACTTTGCATGATAAACAAAATCCAGGATTGTAATAAATTAATGAAAAAAATTACCATCCTATTTCTTTTTAGGCTATCTGCCCTTGAAAGAGAATGTTTTTTGTTCTTCTTTTAGGTCACTTTCAAGGGCAGTTTGGTGAAATAAAGCTAAGCAGACAATTTGCTATAAATATTGTACAACTTGTGCTAGTGAAAAAAAGGCAAGCTTACTGGCAGTTTACAAACGTACAGTCCGTTTAATTATATTTCTATTTCTAGGTCAACCTGCAATGATCAATAGTTTAAGGAAATGTTAAGTGTCTTGGACTTTCAACAAATACAAAAAATTCACACTCATTTAAGTTGTGAAAATGTATCTGTATACCTTTAATAGAATTATAATGTTAATTATGTAAGTTTCATTCAACTAAATACTGTACATTTAGATACATGTAATATACATTTACGAATAAACAAATAGGAATTGTTAAATAGACATGGGAGAAAATTGAATAAAATGTGTATATGCATAGAAATAAATAAATAACATTGCAAAATACATGTATGTGTATGGGACATTAAAATAAATACAATATGAAAGATTAAGTAGACTTGACTATAGAAAATAAACAATTTGATTTGTCTTCTTCTTAAAGCACCTTAAATACATGTAAAGACAAATAAATTAAAAAAGTGTTAGAAACAAGTCACACTTATACGTCAAAATATTACAAATAATTTCACACACCATTGACAGTTCATCTTTGTCAGTCCATCTCAGACATTACTATCTTCTGATAATAAATAATTCACAAAAAATTCAAAAAAACTTGATTTCATATCAGATTAGTCTGATTTCACCTAAGATTTATTTGAATTTTACCTCATATAAACTTGATTTCACCTCAGATTTATTTGAATTTGACCTCATATAAAGTTGATTTCACCTCAGATTTATTTGAATTTTACCTCATAAACTTGATTTCACCTAAGATTATTTTGAATTTCACCTCAGATTAATATGAATTTCACCACAGATCTTACTATCTTACAATGCTTGAAAAAGACAGTAAGAGATGCCTTACACAGGCTGCCAGTACAGACCGGAATATCTAGCTCGAGGGTAACTGTTTACGGTGGTAGATGAGGCTCTGCAGAGTATCCGCTAAATAGTTACCCGAGAGCTAGATTAATAATATCTGACATATGTTTGCGGTTCGGATCGGAATATCCGTCCCGAGGTGACCCGCCCATGGGCGGATGACCGAGGGACGGATATTACGATCCGAACCGCAAACATATGTCAGATATTTTTTCTTGCATATTCTACCATATTCCATTATATTTTAAATTCTTTATCTTTATTTTCAATGAAAATTTATATCATTACAACCGTAACTACTTTCATTCAACAGCGTATGAATTACAAAGTCATTCATAACGGTAAAATGACGTCATCTTTATCGTGCCATTGTACAGCACGCGACTCATCTGGAACCCCCCATGCCAGATGAAATTTCCGGCATGGGTAAAACTAACGGAAACGCCAGTCTGATATGCAAGAATAATAATATCTGTCATATGTTGCGGTTCGGACCGGAATATCCGTCCCGAGGGGACCCGCCCATTGGGCGGTAACGAGGCTTGCCGAGTTACCGCCCATGGGCGAGTTCCCGAGGGACGGATATTCAGGTCCGAACCGCAAACATATGTCAGATATTTTTTCTTGCATATTCTGCCATATTATTTCATATTTAAAATGGTTTACCTCAATATGATATATGTTCATGGAAATTAAAGTCATTTCATCCTTAACTATTTTCTTAAAATAGCGTATGAACTTACAACTTTAATAACAACGGCGAAATGACATCATCCTAAGCACATATTTCCCTTCCAAAACGACGTCATTTTACCGCGGTTTATTCATAAAGTGCGCTAAAATGACGTTGTTGTTTGGCACGCGACTCATCTGGCACCCCCCATGCCAGATGAAATTTCCGGCATGGGTAAAACTCACGGAAACGCCAGTCTGCTATGCAAGAAATTCCTGTCTCAGACGACAGCCTGTGTTTGATTCTACTAATTAATTACATTATTGAAAGAAATTACCAAAACTAACATTTACATAGAAGTTTTTCCTTGCAGTAGCGTATGAATTCACAACTTCATTCATAATGGCACAATAACGTCATCCTAAGAACGCTATTCATTTGTAATAGGCACATGGCAATGACATCATATAAATCACACAACCTGTCTTACATGACTAGGGGTGTAAGACAGGTTTTTTAGCATCGTTGTAAACAGTAGATAATTCTGTCTGATATGCAAGGAGATGCTTTAGTTTGTACTTAGTTCTCTGATAATTATCAATAATTTAATCCCATGTTGTTCTCTGGCTCAGTACCATCAGTATTGCTGAAAAAAAATCAAGGTAATAAAACAATATTTTAAGGTTATACATCATCTGCTTTTAATACTTGATGATAATCTTTTTCTATAAGTATTGTTATAAAATAACAAGGGTGCCATAGTCACAAAATACGCCCGTTTACGAAAGCTTTAGATGGAGATGGGGGCATTATGGATAAGTGTTATCTAGCAAGCAAGTTTTTATTCTTGGCACTGTGTTGTTAAATGAACCTTAAAACAAATCAGTAGGGAAGATATGCACAGGATGTGTGACCTTGACCTTGGTCGCAGGGACCTGAATTTTATGCACAGCACTCAGCCTCACATTGATGAACATTTGTGCCAAATTATATTGAAATCCCTCTATGCATGTAGAAGTTTTGCTCCAGACAAGCGTTTTTCTATGAGCTCTAACTGTGACCTTCACCTTTGACCTAGAGACTTGGTTCATGTGCAGGGCACTACGTCTCATGTTGGTGAACAATTCTATAAAGTAACATTAAAATTCCTCCATGCATGTAGAAAATATGCTCCGGACAACATCTGGATATTTAATCATCTCCAGTGACCTTGACCTTGCAAATATTAACCTAAATTAAATGTGTCACACCTGTAGTCATGATAGTTACCATTTGTGCTACAATCCATCAATAAATGATGACTAAATGGTCCCTATACACATCTTCAAATTTTTATCTGAACTTTGACCTCTATGTGTAACCTTGACTTTGGTCGCAGGGATCTGAATCTTGCGCGCGACACTCCACCTCACAATGGTGAACATTTGTGCCAAGTTATATTAAAATCCCCCTATGAATGTAGAAGTTTTGCTCCGGACAAGCGTTTTTCAATGAGCTCTAAGTGTGACCTTGACCTTTGACCTGGAGACCTGGATCATGCATGGAGCAATACATATCATGGTGGTGAACATTTCCATAAAGTATTATAAAAATTCTTCCATACATGTAGGAGATATGCTCCAGACAAAATCTGGATATTTCACCATCTTTAGTGACCTTGACCTTGCATATATTGACCTAAAGTACATGTGTCACAGCCGTAGTCATGATAATGACCATTTGTGTTACAATCCCTCAATAAATGATGATTAAATCGTCCCTATACACATCTTCATATTTTTATCTAAACCTTGACCTCTATGTGTGACCTTGACCTTGGCTGCAGGGACCTGAATTTTGTGCGCGACACTCCGCCTCACAATGGTGAACATTTGTGCCAAGTTATATTGAAATCCCTCTATGCATGTTGAAGTTTTGCTCAGGACAAGCGTTTTTCAATGAGCTCTAAGTGTGACCTTGACCTTTGACCTAGAGACCTAGTTCATGTGCGTGACATGGCTTCTCATAATGGTGAACATTTCTATGAAAATTTCATTAAAATCCCTCCATGCGTGTAGGAGATATGCTCCGGACAAAATCTGGATATTTCATCATCTTTAGTGACCTTGACCTTGTATATATTGACCTAAATTATATGTATCACAGCCATAGTCTTGATAATGACCATTTGTGTTACAATCCCTCAATAAATGATGACTAAATGGTCCATATACACATCTTCATATTTTTATCTGAACTTTGACCTCTATGTGTGACCTTGACCTTGGCCGCAAGGACCTGAATCTTGCGCGCGACACTCCACCTCACAATGGTGAACATTTGTGCCAAGTAATATTGAAATCCCTCTATACATGTGGAAGTTTTGCTCCAGACAAGCATTTTTCAATGAGCTCAAAGTGTGACCTTGACCTTTGACCTAGAGACCTGGTTCATGTGCGCGACACTGCTCCTCATAGTGGTGAACATTTCTATGAAGTTTCATTAAAATCCCTCCATACATGTAGGAGATATGCTCCAGACAAAATTGGACGCCGCCCGCCCGCCCGCCAGGGGCGTTCCCATAATACGTCCCGTTTTTCAAACGGGCGTATAACAATCAAATCAAAAAAATAATTTATCATTTAAAATGCCAAATCAATGTGTTTAATTTTTTTTAGGGGCTTGGGGTAGCTCCATACCTTTGAATATATATATATAGCAACATTGTGCATTATTTAAGGCATGATTTGGCAATCAATAAGATGGAAAGATCCTTTGACATCTGGCTTTATAACTTTCTTAAACTCCTTTGCAGGATTCAATCCAACTATCTTAAAGGGGAGGCGATTCTTAGTCAACCCACAAATTCATGCATCTGTTTGTCTTCAAAAGCCATACAAAGTGCATGACTAAATATTTCCTACAAGAATGAAAGATCAACATACTAATGGAGCCCCTTTGTACATTATGTTAACCCTTTACCTCATATATAAACAACGCACTTACCACCCCCCCCCCCCCTTTTTTAGGCCCTAAATTGTGAAAAAATGTCCTATTTGGGCCTCAAACTTACGTTTTTGGTTGAGAAATGTTGCTAAAAAAAGTGAGCACTTCTTCTGCGCCGCCCTTTCCAAAAGATACATCAGGGGGTTGCCAGAAGGGGAATGTGCCCCCTTCTGTTTGGGGGGTTTGAAGGGGGGGGGGCGGTAGTCCCCCTCATTGCCTAGAAGATTTTGGACTTGTGAGAGGCTAAAAATGACCCCAGGTCGATCATAAGGTAACGTGTAACCAACGCTGCAAAGCAATTGACTCTATCTCAATTGACTCTATCTCCCTTGAGAAGTTGCAGCACTTAGAAATAAATATTGATAGAAAAAATCAAGGCAAAATAGTGATTTTCCTGCAACTTTGAGATGTCCCCTCGTTGCCATGGTAACAGGAAATTTAAGCCTGAGCATGTCGTTACAAAGGCAAATGGTCCAGTCAACATTTGTGTCAAGTTTGATTAGTATTGAAGCATCTTCATAGTTTCATCGCAGTTTGAACTTGTAACCGGAGGCTTTTCAATGAAAACGGCCATTTTTCACAATATGCTCATGAGGGAAAGGGTTAAGCATTATGTTAATCACAATTTGGCACTTAAAAATAACCACCAACCAAACAAGCAATTATTCTCAAAGTATTTCAAGCAATACAAAAGACCCCTACAAGTTAGAATCCCGCAAGAAATATATAAGCAATATTCTCAAGGGCCATGACCTTTCATTTATGCCATTTTGTAAGACATGACTGAACTTTTGAGTTTTTAGATACATCTTCAGGGTTTGTCTGTATTATCAAGATGTGTTAAGTTTCCTTGCTTAATAAGGAAATTATGTATAATAATATACAACAGATAATCCAAAAGATAAAATTTTCTAAGGATCACTATATATAAAATAATATTTCAACTTTGCTCTATATTCTATTTAAAGTAAATTTGTTTGAACGGTTCCAAGTACTTATGCAAAACTGATTACATGACACATTTTTTTACGGATGGACAGAGAGACTGACAGATAGACAATTAACCTTTAGACAGAGGGCTAACAAGCTTACAGAGCTTAGCTTTTTCACAAGAAATAACCAAAGTCCTTGACAGGATTCAAACCTAAAGCAAAAAGGTGGAAGTCATTTAAAGTCAGTAGCCTTAACCACTCAGCTACACATGCTTTAGTCATAGCAGATCAGGTAACCTATCAGTTTGCCCAAATTGGCAAAATTGAAAATGTTCACTCTGAATGAGTCTAAAATAAGGTAAAAGTTGGGTATAGTTTTTACCAATATTCCCATTCGCTGAGTCCATAACCTTCCATCCCATCTAAGAAATATCTGGCATATCTCTCATAAATTTTAGCATCCCTGCCATCTCCTATATAAAACTGTCGTGTTTCTATGACAACAACCTTCAGTGTTCTTTGTTTTTCTCCTGAAAAACAAATAATCAAGGTGTTTTGTTTGCCACAAATTTTAGTCTATAGAAATTACTCAACTCTCTTCAAAATATTTTAGATACATGCATTAAAATAGGCATCTGGAATTTTGTTCATGAAAAGCTTCTTATGATCCTAAAAACAGAAGAATGGGTGTCCCGTAAATGAGACAAAAATAATTAGTGAAATACTTCATAAAATGGAATTTTAGAACGAGATCAGACGTTAAATAGTTTAATACATGTATATAAGAGAAATATTTAATACATAAATGTGTTTTAAACACGTCAATTTTAACATGATATTGTTCTTGTATGATTAAATTTTTATTCTATGATCATTTTTGATGAACATTGTGGCCAAGGTATCAATTTGGAATTTATTACTTAAAGTACCAGTACTAAAATGTTTACATGTTTGGCTGTGTGCTATAGTATGTGTAGTTGTCTTTTATGTAATGAGATAGAAAATACAAACTATGAGCATACCTGCTTTAAAATTAACAGTAAAGTTAGTTGATGGAGTACCGTCATCCCCTAGGTTATGAAATTCCAGGTCATGCCAGGATACTGTGTCCATTTCTCCAGATGGATGAAAGATAAATCCACAGTGTAATCTGGGAAAATAAAGAGTTACAGTTACAAATTGATACTTCAATAAAACAAAAACAACAACAAACAACATTTTCATACCAAAAAGATTGATTTAGAATTAGTGTTTCTCTATGAAATATAAAAAGATTTTATAATTTACATAGATCTACCAAAATAATGTATCTGCTATCATTATTTTTTTAATCTATTTTTTGCACTCTTTGTAAATGAATCTGACAGTAGGTTTGAAACCTACATTAACTATGCAAATGTTTCTTTTTTTGTAACCATAATATATTCATTTTTGTTTCATCAATTTTTGTCAACATCATTTGCGAATTATGTGTATTTTTTGTCTATATATACATCTGCTGCAAACTTATGCATGAACATACTTGTACACTTTAACAAAGAGAGCAATTTTGCTGTACAGTATGATAATTATCTTTTATTTTTTGGTTGGGATTTACATTGCACCAACACAGTATAAGTCATATGGTGACATTCCAGCTCTACCAGTGGAGGAAGACTTCAGGTGCGCTTCTGTGCATTATTTATTATTTCAGGCACAAACAGGTACCTGAACCTGGGTAGAACCACCAACATTCCATAAGCTAGCTGGATAGCTTCCTCACATAAACTTGTTACAAAGACTTTTGGCATGTTACTTGATAATATTTAATAGCTGATTATTAAATATATTATACATTACTTTACAGCTCATGCTATACAAGCTTACCACCATTATACAGGGCCATATTACATCAATACATGTCAATTTATTTATTTATTTTTTTTAATAAAGATTTTACCTGGACATGGTAGCTGGCATGGATATAGCTGATAAACAGAGATTTGTTCCATCAGGAAAACTGGCATATTGTATACAATAACGATGTAACTGTCGCCAGTTACGAATATTACCTAAAACAAAGCATAAACATTATAAAGTAACAAAAAAACAAAATTAATTTGAAGAATAACAACTGATAAGCAATATGATGCTGTTTTACATTTAAAAAAAAATTACCATCAATAAGTTCAGCAGAATTCAGTCAGAAAAATGGTTTAAAAATTCTAAAATTGCTGTCACTGAAAACTAAATACTAAAATTACTGTCATTGAAAACTAACAATTTTTCGTACTAAATAATAATGAATTTGAAATGACAAGAGGAGAGGCCTATTACACATGTACAGTATTATGTATCTATATTATATGTTGTGTAGCTATATTATATGTAAGTTAATGGTCAAGTAAATCAAAGGTCTATTCCTTTTGATCTTGTAGTCATAGAATATGTTTCACAATAAATTGAGCTTTGAATTTTTCAGTTTCAAAAAGGAAAACTTGAAGCATATTTTTTTGTTCAACATGAGTTAAGGTAACAAATATAAAACCATATACATGTATAAGGACATGTTTACCCAGCTGGTCATGGTATTAATAATTTTGTAGAGGCTTGCTACACAATATGCTGCATAATAAATATTCAATATTCAAAATTTAGCTTTTTAACTATTTTTAAATATTCATATTTTTCCATGTATGTATAAACAAATGGTATACCATAAGAGTGGTCACGAACACCTCGTATATTAATATCAACAGGATCATGTCCCTCTATATTAACTGTGCCTGTTGTATCACCAAACTGCTCATAGTGTGTCTGATGTATACTGAAATATATCAATAACTTTATAACAAACATCCCCACTGTCCACTGTTTAGACACAGTCTACAGACAGACAACATGACAGGGGCAAGACAGACAGACAAGAACATATAGTTTTACCCTTGAAAGGGGGGGGGGAGAAAAAATATATATAATTAAATCACAATACAAAAAAAATATTTGGTTCTATGTACATCATCTACAATCAACTATTCAATGTGGCCAGGGTCTTTAAAATATTCTTCATGCATTTGAAAGACCCAGATGTGTCTTACTGCCGTGATCCAGAGGGTAAACTACCAGCACCACCACAAGTAACTCTGATGAATTATTTCTTGTAAAGGAATTGCTTTGAAAATTAAAAACAATTGCAAATTTCATCACCTTTAAGAATTACATCAAATTATCTCAAAAGACAAGAGAAAAAAAGAACAAAACAACACAAGGTCTTAGGGAAATGAACAGTTTAGGTCACTGACCCATATTCACTTGTCCCTAACAGCTGCTAGTTTAAATCCAGTTAATAAATCTGGACTCTTTTATTTGAGGTAGTTGTCAAGCCGGCTGTGGTAGAACTTAGATGCCTGCCACCTTCCTCAAAGGCTCTTAGTAATTTTATCGACAGATGAAAAAAGATTAACAATTGTCACATGACTTTTACAGTGTCCGAGTAACTTAGAACAAACAAATATAATAAAGTAAATATAAAAAAGTACATTTATTTCGATTTTGCAAAAGTAACAACTTACATTTTCAATGTGTCAAAGAAGTGTCTTGACCAAGTTTCCCGTGCAATAGCGTCACATAGAACATTGGGATGAAGGTCTGTGTCAAAATCGAAGAATTTTGTACAAGCTCTCCATGTCAAATCAAACTTCACATCTAGCAACTTCCCTGAGGACACTTGTCTGAATGGAAAAGTATCAAAATGCAAAAATAACATTTACTTTAATTTAAAATATGCTTCATATGTCTTTTTAATTATAATACTGCACATTTGAAACATCGCTTTTCACTGGATAATCATGATGTTTATATTGTTTTATATACACTGAGCTGCTGTCAATTTTTATCTCACATGTTTCTCTTAAAAAAAAAAAATGCTTGCATAATATAATAAATTTGTTATAAATATTTCGACCTTGACAATAAACAGTTGTTTGTAATATATATTTCCAAACAACTGTTTATATAGGGCCATATTATAAACCTGTCAAAAATCTTTAAGGTCTTATAACTTGTCAAAAATCTTTATAACTAATAATATAACTGGCTGTTTGCATTAATAATTATAGTTTTTATACACAATGTAGATATATTGTACAATGAAAATATGTGAAACCATATATTATAAAATGTTGTTAAAATAAAATCATTTAGGATTTATACCAGATCAATTAGGTTTTGCTTCTTACATTTGGGTTGAAACTTACACATAATTACTTATGTGTACATAAATGTTGCTATTTATAAACTATAGCTATTTTGAATCACAGATTATACGGAATAATACATTGTACTTCAACAATCAATCCTAGTATTTAAAATTGAATCTTTCAGTATTAATTAAGATGCCATTCAAATAAACTTTTTGCTGATAAAATGATAAAAATGCACCAAATATGTGTAAGCATAACATTTTCTTTATGCACCTGCCAGTATATTGCTTATATATAGCCAGCAGGTACAGTAAATTTCACATATTTTACAGCTGTTTCCCCAAGCCCAAAAATGTTAAATAACATGTACCAAATACACAGCTCTAAATGAGAAAAATCAAAATTTGAAATAGAAAATTTGATTCAAAGTATGGCTTAGTGAAGCAGTCTGTGTTTTTGGTGTTTGATTTCTGCCTTTCAATTTTTATAAGTATTGACTTATCTGGGAACAGTGCAGACAATGATCACAGAGGTACAGAATTATCTTGGTCTGCACTGGTTGCATGCATAGATTCAGTTGCTGTCAGTTGGCTCAAGGGTTTAGAATTAAAAAAAAAAAAAAAAAAAAAAGTATCCAAAATCATAAAGCCCGATTAAACCAATACTGTGCTAGGATATCCTAATGATGTTTTATGTTTCGTATTTTGGGGGTGTTTTATTGGGTTTTAAGTTGCTCAAACACAGTATTGGTAATATATGGCAACTTTCCAGGTTTACTGGTGGAGGAAGAGTCCATAGGTGCCCTTCCGTAAATTATTTCAGGCATGAACGTGCACCCAAGTAGAACCACTAATGCTAAACTACGATAGCTGGACATATTCCTCACATGAAATAATCCAAATTCCCTGTTGGGATTTAAACCCACAATGGTTGGTTTGAAGTCAATGACCTTAACCACTCGCCCACGGATGCCCAGACTACTTAGTGATGCTATAAGCCACTTTTTATTACTTCCAGCTTTCTTAAAGGGTAGCATAAAAATTGCTGAACACTAGTGAGTTCTAATACCTAAGTTTCCCATCAAACTTTATACTCCAAGTTTTCATTGGTTCTACCATACTGATATGTAACCCACCAGCAGCGAACTCATTTTCCATGGTCCCACGTAGAGAGGTGTCCGGCATAGATGGAAGCTCGAGAAATCCTAAATCAGGTAGCTACACAAAATGGTCAAATACAAAAAGAATATTAATAATGACCCATTTCTTTTTCTATAAATATTATACATGTAGTAATTTTGATAATATAACATTCATTTGAATCTTGCTGATAAAGAATTAAAGAAAGGAAATTAAACAGCCAACAGAATACATTGAGAATGAGATTGGACACTTCATAGCCTAATTAATTAAGCAAGAATGGTTTAACCCATTTAATTTTTTCTTACTGTCAAACCATAGGAAAAAGACATTGCCCGTTTAAAATATATCTCAAGTCTAAGGAGTTGGACCAGGACATTCCACAGAATGTCCTGGCTGACATGTCATGGTGGCTCATTAATATTTGTTGACATGATTTGCAAATTAATTGTCATCTTCATATAAGCATCCACGGGTGTAATGTATGCCTATATTATTTGTACATATTTGACTTTACTCTAAGATAGACAATGGTTTGGACATGATTGTCATGGCGTCTAGCTGTTGCCGTGACCAGGAACTGACCTTCTTTGTTACTTCCAGTAAGGTATACTGCATCCACAGCCTGTTTTAATGATAAATTGTTTACTTGTTTAATAATGATATACAGTAATGATATCTGTAATTTTCACTTGTTTTCTGCTACACGACAAACCAAAAGCCGATTTAATTGGGCAATCAAAACAATCCTACAATATATATTGTTCAAATAAATATTAAATACCGGGACAGTTATCGTGAAAGACAAAAAATGATACCTAATTTTTAATTTCGATACCGGTAGGATTAAACAGTCTAGGTATCTTGTTACATCGACACCGGTCTAGATTTTAACCTGGATCGGATGATGTATCTTACCAATCACCCCAATTTACCTTCACTTGCACTTTCTGAATTTTGTAGCGACCAAATACTTATAAATAAATGCAGAAATTATTAACCTTTGGATGCTCCTTTGGTAATAGTTGAACTTTGTCCATATCTTCCGGAGAATTTCTCGATTTTCTTCCCATCCCAGCATTTTCACCTGTAACTTTTTTATTTCTCTCTAGTTTTCTAAGCCGTAACAAAAATTTAAAAATCATGAATTTCATCAAATACCACTTATTCGGTTGAGAATAAATTCCATTAATTTTTGGCGGGTCAGATCGACTTAAAAACCTGACAATGATGATAAATGCAAGCACGCAAACTACAGCTGTCAAATCCATTTTCACATTTTTGTGTCAGTGTTATTTTCTCCTCGTATAAATTGTCCTATGCGAAAAATAAATGAAGTACCATTTGAAAGCAATGATGATGAAGTGAGGTGTTAATTTCCACTGACTCCAGAATTCTAAATGCTTAACTAGCATATAACATATCTTCATGTTTTTTTATAAATAATGCCCGTAATTATCACAGGGAAATCTGTCCTTATTCTATTAAATCTATTATAAATATACAGGAAAGAAAAAAATGACAGAATCCCCTGTGTTAAACCGTATAGTGCTTTTTTTTATGGTTTTATTTCCCCCTTTAATTTTTTATTTTATAAAAAATTCATAAATTTTGCAAAAACCTGGATTTTTTCTCAATTAAATTTCCCCCCGGGCATTTTAAAATAACTTTTAAAGTATGTCCCCGATTTCCCTGACCAAAAAAAACTATTTATGAAACCTGTGTTTTAAGATTTTTTTAGCGGCCGAAAATGCCAATATAATTGAAACCCGTTTCTAAGGTTTTTTTAGGGAGGCCCACGTTGAAATTTACTATTTACCAGGACATAAAATGATATTACTTGATGTAATTGTACTGCAAATATTGTGCTATTTTGCATATTGGCAATACCTTAAAGGAGAGAACCAGAACAAAAAATTATTTGACACTATCTTAAATTTTGGAGGTCAAACTATTTCGACTTAGTCAGACTTTCCAGCTTTCCTGGTGGAGGAGGACCTCATGTGCTTGGCCATGCATTATGTCAGGTACAAGCCCTGAATCATAGTGCAATTAACAAATAAAAAAACAACAACAAATGAATCATTCTATAAAAATGTTTATTTCCCTCAATGAGGTGCAAAAAAAGTATTACATAATGTCATAATAAATGAGAAGCCAAATACACATTTTATAACAAAGCCAAATTATCACATTCATTCTATAGTAAAATTGTTCTGCATGCATGACATCATTTAGAAGCACTATAGTCTATTTCAGAGTTTGCACAAGTCCAGCATTTTTCAAATAAAGATATTCTAAAAAAAATTTGATCATTTTCACAGGGCTTCACCCAATATGGTAACAAAAAAAATGCAAAGTAACAATTACATTTTACAATTCTAGGTCACTTTCAATAAAAATTAAAGAAATTACAAGTATTAGGTACATTTTTATGCTTATGTAACATGCTTATATAACATTAAAAAGTTACAAATTTGAATATCACAATTTTCTCAGGGCTTTCTTTTTTGGCTTCCACCAATATGCAATATGCTTTAAAATTAATGTATGCAAGTACAATGTACATGTATCTACACATTTATTATTTAAAATTTTTAAATAATGAAGGAAAACAGTAATAATCATAATAATCATTTGTCAAAGCAATGGATTGTCCGTGTAATTTTACTACACATTGTACTTGATATAAGTGAGAGAACTCTAAAATGGAGAAGAACATGGTGGTCCTAAGCTACAAAGGAGTGGGGTAAAAAATATAACCAAATCAAATAATTTTGATTAGCCCAACAAAGTCCCCTACACACCACTATATATACAAGATATACTTATAAATGTAGCTTTAGATATAAGTTTCCCATAAATTGAAAGAAAAGAGAAAGAAAGATATAAAAAATTGTCTATGCATTAAAAATAAAATTTAAAAGATTGCACTAACTATCAGCACTAGAAAAGATGAGTATTACTATAATCCCACTAAACTCTAATAAATAAATCATTTGAAACTGTCCTTAGTCAAACCATGTAAAATCAGCACAAACTTTGAATAATCTCTTATCCTCTTTTTTGAAAAATGATAATTTATTCTATCAAGTTTCAAGTTGTATAACAACTGAAGTGTCCCATTTTTTTTATTGTAACAGCCTGCTGGTTAAAAGACATATTCTAAAACTTAAATTCAGGAAAGATTTATAGCAATTGTTGCACAAGAATATATGACAGAGAAAATGAGCTTAAACATTCAATACAAATTCATAAAAACTCACATCAAAACATAAGCTTCAACCCAACCATACAAAATATGGCTGAAAATACAGTTATTTGACAGTATGTCATATTTATTTATTTATTTAAACAAACAAACAGAATCAATCATGAATCAATTTATCCATCAAGTTACATTCCCCTTTTCAATATAAAAAAGAAAACAAATACAATACTAAAATAAACAGCATATGAGAAAGTCAAAATAAGGAAATAGTTTAAAAATGTCGAGAGCTCTCTTTTTCTGTCATTTACTATAAACACGTCTTATAAGGGTGCTCGATTTGTGGGTGAGTTAATGCATTTTTAATGCTCTTTCTTCATTACATTACACTTTTAACATTTTCCATCAATCTGTATATAAATAAACTAACAAAATATCTTTATTGTTCTAAGTACTGTAATTGATAGATATGTGTTCAAGTCAATTTTGTTGAATAAAACTTCTGTTTTGTTTCTGTTAAAATTGTCATTCAATCTAAAATTTATGTAGCCAAGGAAAACACCCCACAAAAAATATTCACTCACTCTCTCTGACACTTTTTTACATTATACTGACTGTACTTTGGTTAAAGCAATTACCACAACTAGCATTATAAATGTTTGCTGCAAAAAGGGTTAACAATCTGAAAAAAATGCAATTTTTTTTATTACATTTCAATTATTCATGCATATCATTTAATAATGATATTACAAAAAAATGCATAAGCACTGACATGACTGTGGAAACAACTTTATCACATTTATAATTTTCATATTACATAAAAAAAATATCGCAATCTATCGGGCAACACATAATCAAAAGCCACTTCCTTTCACATGTATATAAATAATAAAGATATTCACATAAAGTTAAGATTTTTTATGAATTTGAAAATACATGTATTTTCAGCTCTATATAGTATTTCAATAGGGCATTATCATAAGCTGTTTGAAAAGACTTCAAAAATTCTCACTTCCTCGTCAAGTTATTCCATTATTCATTCAAAATAGGACATATATGCAATGCGTAATTCATAAAGCCATTCTGTTAAATACGACACAAACTTTTATATTACATATTATATATGAAAATTAAACAAGTTTTAATCTAAATTACAACATCAACAATAAAGAAAAGCACAAAGTTGAATTGTATTTATCAAGTCACTTGTTTAAGATATGGAAATATAAATACAGTATATTAACAACACTTTATTGGTATCAAAAATCCAACCCTGGTACCTAGCAATCAAAAACAAGCCACAATTTGTATGGTACCCAGCAATCAAAAATATGTATGTGTTCAAATGTCCCAAAGCTGACAGCAGAATAGAAAATGACAACCAAATCTTAATGTTACAGTAAAAAAAATCACAGTCATATAAATTATTGTATGGCTTTTTTCTTACTTAAAATACAAAACCACTGTAGGGGTCCACATATAACATACAGTTCACCCTATCTTATGGACACATCAATGCAAACAAATAATAGTATAATTATTGATGATAGGTGGTCTTAAACTTTTAATCACAAGTTTAACTGTAAACTAGATCTAGTTTCTTCATAAAACATTGAGTCAGAAATCATTGATATTGTGACATTCAATTTGTTTCAAAATTTACATTAATTTTTAATTAAACAATC